AGCGCAGAAATGGACGACGTCAAGGACAAGATGAAGGGATTCATGAAGAATCTCACCACCTCGAACTCCAAATTCAAAGGCCAAGGCCACGTCTTGGGCTCCTCCTCCTCCGCCTCCAATCTCAGCAATTCCCGCCTTATTCCTCCCCAAAACCCTAACCCTAATCCCAAACCCAAACCCAAACCCAATCCCAAACCTAGCCCTTCGCCAAATCCCAAACCCTCAAATGAATTCAGCCCATTCGATCCTCTGATTACCACCAGTAATCGATCGGCCAACGACTCCTCATCCGCAGTCTTCAATTGCCCAATTTGCTCCTCTTCGTTCTCATCGGAATCCGAGGTCTCAGATCATATCGATCTCTGCTTAACCACCGCAAATTCCAACGCCGAAACGCCCATCGAATCCTCCATAGTGGCTGAGTCAGTCAGTTTGTACTTGTCGAATCAGCCACGAAAAGATTTGGTGGATGTCGTGTTGAGACTGTTGAGTAATGTTGCGAAGGAGCCTGGGAATGAGAAGTTTAGAAGGATTAGGATGGGGAATCCGAAGATTAAGGAGGCAGTCAGCGAGGTTAAGGGCGGGGTGGAGCTTTTGGAGATTTTGGGGTTTAGGATTGGCGAGGAGGAGGGAGGGGAGGTTTGGGGAATGATGGAGGCCCCAACGGAGGACGGGGTTAGGGTTATCAAGGAGGCGGTTTCATTGTTAGAGAGGTGGAAGGAAGGTGGATTGAAAGAGGACGAGAGCGCAAGTAATGGTGTTGTTGAGGAGGATAGGGTGATCGAGAGGAAGAAGATGGACCGAAAGGTAAGCCAACTATGGTTATGTTTCATTTTACTATTTGCTGCTATTCATTTCTTTGTTTGAGTTGAAAATTGGAAATTTTGAAGTGGTTAGTCCCATTTGGGGCAGTTGAAGTGCATTGCTTTCCCGTAAATTGTAAGATGTTGAAGGTAGAGATTTGGAACATAATGCATGGTGTAGATATTGTGAGAAAATTAGGATTAATAAGGTTAATGATGCTTTAAAGAAGATGATAATTTGAAGAGATGTAGGACCCGACAATATTCTTGTCAAAGTTTGAAAATGTTTTGAAGATATAAGCTAAGGACGACAGACTAAACTATTCACAAGATTATTGAGACTAAAGAAAATGCCTGATGAGCGGAGGAGTAGCACTTTGGTATGGATATATAAAAATAAAGAATATATAAAAATTATTCAAACTATCATGGCATCAAACATATGAGTCATATTATGAAACTTTGAGAGAGGATAATTGAGCATAGTCTAAGAAAGGAGACAACTGTATCTACTAACCACTATAGTTTTATACATGGGAAGTCACAACTATGAAAACTATTCGTATATTAGTAGGTTAATAGAGAGATATAGGGAGAAGAGAAAGGATCTACATATGGTTTTTATTGATATAGAAAAAACTTATGAAAAAGTACTAGGGAGATAATGTTGTGGGTTTTAGAAAAAAAACATATTTTTAGTACATATATTGATTACATTAAAAAGGACGAATGAAGGGGAGACAAAACTGTTGCCTATTACCCAGTGTTGTAAAAAGCGGCGGACAACGGCAATAGCGGTCACGGACCTTCACCGCCCCGCTTAAGGGGTTTGCGGGTGGGTTAGGGGGAGAAAACCGCTATTCGCTTGAATAGCGGGTGATTGCGCGCTGTAGCGGCTGAAAAGTGGTGAAAAAGCAGAATTTTCCACTACAGTTTTTCATAAACATCTCCTTAAACCCGACCCGAACCCGACCCGAACCCGACCCGTACCCATTCCAATAAAACCCTCTCTCCTTTGCCCTAGCCGCCTCTCTGGTCTCTCCCGTCGCCTTTGCCCTAGCCGCCTCTCTGGTCTA